GGGGGGGGGCGAGGTGCAGATGTTAGAACAGGGCGCATATAGTGATGTAGATGCATGTCTGATGGTCCATCCCATGCCAATTGCATCTGGTGATCTAATGTATTGAGCGTGGCAACTGGGCTGGCGGGAGGTTTCCTGGCAATTGATGAGGTACGTGTAACCTTTATCGGTAAGCCTGCCCATGCGGCAGCGGCTCCCTGGGAGGGTATAAATGCCCTTGATGCGGTCGTCGCTGCCTATCTTAATGTGTCGCTCCTTCGACAGCAGATACTGCCCTCATAAAGAGTCCATGGAATCATTGTCAGTGGAGGAGACCGGGCTAACATCATCCCGATGTCCGCCATGGAATATGCCATGCGCTCTCCTACATCTGAAAGCCTGAATGTCCTCAAAAGGAAGCTCACATACTGCTTGGAGGCTGCTGCGACAGCAACTGGCTGTGAACTAGAGCTTACATGGTAGGTGCTCCATGCATACAATACTTGTCTCCACCTTAGTGTCTTACATCACGCATCAGGGGAGTTGGCTATGCGGACTTGAAGCACAACCCGACCATTTGTAGAAGCTATGTCAGTGCTCTGAAAGCGATGGCACATCATGCAGTTTTCGACGGTTCGTATATCGAGGGAGTCTTGAATGGCGGCTCCACCGACATGGGTATGTCAGCATCACTTCACGTTATGCTAAGCTCCTTTCCATACTAATTGCCCCCAGGGAATGTTTCTCATGCCGTGCCTGGCTTCCATGCTATGTTCGCTATTCCAACTGAGGGAGTGAATCATACACCTCAGTTCACTGCAGGTGCTGGGTCGGCAGAGGCATTTAAACGGAGCCTTGCATGTGCGGCAGGAATGGCTGTCACCGCTTGTCAAATCTTGGTCGACGATACTTTTGCCGCCCAGGTCAGGAGCGACTTCGACTCGGGTGTTTAGTCTGATATAGAGGTTAAAGAATCAATGTGGAAGCTCATCCTATTAGAGTGTCAAGAGATGACATCCTACATATGCCCGTAGTAAACCGATGTAGCCACTAGCGAATGGATTTAGATGATCCTTCAATCCACTACCCATTTGACTGGCCATCGTGTGGCATAATTTATTCAGTGTAATAATAGGTTGGTGTCTTTCACGCTTCGATCCATTTTCTCTTGATTCGCATGCCAAGTTGTACGATCTAGAGGAATATGGGGCGTTTTGAAAAGGCTTGATGTTTATTGATTATCTAAGGAAGTCAACGCGAGGTATCATATTCCAAAAGCTTCGATTAACCTCCAGAAGAGTTTCTTTCCTTCAAAGAACCCATACCAAAATCAGTTTCGTATGAGTTGGAACTGATGATTATTAGTGGGGATATACATCAGTTACTGACTTCAACTCGAGGGCAAACCGGTGAGGATCCTGAGGACTCTTCCCTTCTACCATCCTATTTCTAGCTTGATGGGATAGATATACTTTTTGTGTTGGATCGGGTCAGGTCGGGCCAAAAGTATTCTTAACCTGGAGCGGGTCGACAAATCAGAACCTGCCCTACAGGCTAAATGAGTAAATCAGAGCTTAGTCCAAGTCTTAATAAATCAGATTATAAGTTTTTCATCTCTTTTTATTAAAGATTTTTGATCCATAGAACAAGTTGGATTATAAATAAATTAAAATAAGATTTATTCTTTCGAATATAATATAATGATACTTAAATACATAATAAAACTGTAATAGGATACACTTGTCAGAGTAGAAAGCCTGTCTAGTGTCGACTAGGAAAGGAATCAACCATGAAACAATCTAGATTCGTGTACAGGTGACAAAGGTAGCCTATATCACATAATAGACTGGTCCTTACAGGATCAGTAAGTTAAGCAAGATAGCCATCGAAACGGTCCCCGGACGCTATCAATGACCTCACGACTCATAGAGTCCAACATTCGACATCTTGCAAGCACGAGTTGAAATTAGAGCGATTAATGATAAAGGTTTAATATCTCCTGATAACTTAACCTTGAATTTCGCGATTAGTGTATATAGATTTTTCCTTCTTCCAGACCACGGGAAAATCTTTGCACAAGTTTATTTTGGACCTCTAGAGGGAATTTAGAAAATGACTGATTCAGTTCTTTACGAACAGTAGAGCTGCACAGTTATTCCAAGAACTATGTAATTGTTCCTTGCGAAATATCCCCACCACTCTCAAAGGTTTCATCCTTGAGTTGCCTGCCGGAGAAGACCGCAAGCCGCGGAGTTACAAATTGCAGTCCTGTATCCACCTAAGCAAACGTGCATATGACAGCTGGCTGTTTCGTATAATTATTGGGGACTGCCGAATGGTCCGGCTGATCCTGACGAACAGTTCATCGAGGCGCAAAGGGCACCACGGCCTAGACCCTGGACTAGTTTCAGATTCCTGTCACTTTAACCTAGTGCGGGATAGGCTCCGTTGCCTTCTTGGCTTATCGGCATGTAGGATAATCGTTTGATTGGTGGATAACTGGAAGCGACCAAGCGCTTTGCAAAGAGGGATAAAATAGCCGGCACTTGCGAATGGTGGTAAAAAGCAAGAACAAGCTGGACGTATGAGGCTTGCATAGTAGTGAGCTGAACATCAGAAGCCTACGTTGCATTGTCTCTGCCACGTGGACTCGGACTTGCATGGATGTCCGCCAAATTACCGGTAGGGGGTTGCACCCATTGCTTCGAGTTGCATTCGAGCTGCGGTTTGTTCGATGCAGTTCAGCTGCAGCCACAACTCGACTTCCAGACCCTTTTGTATCGGCAGCAAACATGCATATCCATATGCTATTAAAACGGAGGTCTTCCAATTGCCAGATAGAGGCTCCCAGATTATAACTAGACCATTGACCTGAAGGATCTTTCTCTCGCCTCGCAGAACACATACATGGTAAGGCTCTACAGCTCCCGAGTGCATGAACGCAAGTCTGAAAACTGCAGCACGATACCCTACACTCTCCCGGTGGCGATCATCAACGATACCGAGGATGTCCTCACCGTAATTGAGAAGACATGCTGGTACTACGCCAACAGCGGCGCCTGGACCGAAGACGCCGGCCACAAGCTCACCCTCACCCTCGGCGGAAGCGGCACATCTGGTATGCTGCGAATTAGGGCCTCGTCGGGCCACACATTCAGCGTTGTCGTGGGGTACCATAATTAGGATTTCTGGTGCGATGCACAAGTTGATCTTCACGATGACGATACGGCAGTTAAGCTGCACCCGGGGTACTATAACGGTGGGAGACTATCGTCCCAGGCAAATTCCTCTATTGAGCGGAAGTGTTCAGCGGGGCGAACGGTGAAGGTGCACTTGCAGAGTCTACCGTGTGGAATCTCGCCTGTTATTATTAATTACTCGTAAATGGGAGTCCATTGAGAGATGTGGTTATATTGAGTGGTTTGGACAGAGTAGCATTGAATATGAATACTTGAGCATCGGTATTAGGCTCATAAGAATGGCCCGAGCTATCCTACACTACTCCTGGGCCTACATAACGCAGGTTATTTCTTTATGATAGGAAATTCCTGGCTTTTCACCGTTTGTGTCCCGATTTCAGGATTTTAAGGATATGTTAATCTGTAAGAATCGTAGCCCTCAGCTTGGGATCATTCACAGGTTGAACCAAATTCTATCAAACAGCTAACTTTGATAGGACAAATCAGGGTAGAGCCTAGAGCATGACAGGCTCCTTGCGTCCCACTCTCATGCATATTTCCAGACTTTCCGCCAAAGAGGACACTGCATGACTGCATTCAACCTTATCTATCATGCCCTAGACCCCTCCCTTGTCTGCAGAGCTAAGCAGGCCTGTTACCACTGGCCTCACTTCCTGCAGCTGCCTTGTCTCACGAGGATTGTTCTGCCAAAGTCGTACATTTTAGCCGATTGTTTATTTCCCCAGCGGACCGTTGGTGTATAAATACAACCCCAACTCGGCACTCTTCTCTGCTCTTCGTTATTTCCTTAATTCCCCCATTAGTTTCTTCCCTTCTACCCGGATCACTTTCTCCACTACAAGTCCTACTGTCCACCGACAACCAGCATAATGAAAGCTGTCATCTACAAAGCCCCGAACCAAATTTCCATCGAGGGGCGCCCCAAACCAACCCTCCTACACCCCACCGACGCCATAATCCGCATCCTGCACACAACAATCTGCGGCACAGACCTGCACATCCTGGCCGGCGACGTCGCGACCGCAAAGCCAGGCCGAATCCTCGGCCACGAAGGTGTTGGGATTATCGACTCCCTCGGTGCCGCCGTGCGCAATTTCTCCGTCGGCCAGAAAGTCCTCATATCCTGCATCACCTCATGCGGGACGTGCTACTACTGCCGGCAGCGACGGATGCCGTCGCAATGCGCCGACGGCGGCTGGATATTAGGGAACACGATCGACGGCACGCAGGCGGAGTTTGTGCGAGTTCCGCACGCGGCGTTCTCACTGCATGCGCTACCTGCAGCGATTGATGAGAGCGTGGCGGTGACGCTGTCCGACACAGTGCCGACGGCGTATGAGTGTGGGATTTTGAACGGGGAGATCACTCCGGGGTCCAGCGTTGCCATTATCGGGACCGGGCCGATCGGGCTGATGTGTTTGCAGATGAGCAGGAGGATGTTTGGACCGAGTGTTGCGGTTGTTATTGGGCGCGGGACGACGAGGGTTGAGATGGCAAGGGCCATGGGTGCGGACCATGCGTTTAGTGTTCTAGATGCGGGCGGCGTGCAAAAGGTAGTTGAGGACGCTGTGGCAGTCTCTGTGGGTGGCAGGGGATTTGATGTTGTTATTGAGGCTGTGGGAAATGCTGAGTCGTTTGAGATGGCGCAGGGGCTTGTTGGCCCCGGTGGCACGATTGCCTCGCTCGGGGTCTTTGGGTGTTCGTGCGAGCTGCGCCTGGAGAAGCTGTGGCATCGCAATATCTGTGAGTCCTCTTCGCCTTATTTTGCTCACCACTGCCTTTACTAATGTCCGCTAGGCTTACGGACACGACTCATTGACGCTGTGTCAACACTCGATCTGCTGCAGATGGTGGAGGGAGGGCACATCGACCCGAGTTTCCTGGTCACACATCGTACGCTTCCCACTCTTTACACTTTTCCACATATGTATATTGGCGTGCGCTAAATGCTTTCTCTCTTCAGGATTTGCCTTTTATGATATTGAGAACGCGTACGAGGCGTTTGAGAAATCGTCTAAACACGGCAGCTTAAAGGTCGTCGTCTCTATGCCGGGCATGGAGTCTGCGTCTGGCGTGATTAAAGGCCCGTCTGCAAATGGTTCCTTGCAGGTCTCGCGCCTGCAGGTGTAGAGTTATAACATCTCATGCAACGAAATTGTATGTCGTTATGCTATATGCTGACAAGATT